TGGCAATTTAATCTTCTAATCTGTCTAATGTTGTTTTCTTCTACCTCTACCCAGTTTTCTCACCAATTTAGTCATGTCCAATTCCACAAGCTAGCTAGGTCTCCTCCTGTCACACAACGCTATCAAGCTAAGAGGGTAAAGGCTAGCATGTGCTTCCTCCAAGATATGTGAAGCACGCTAACATAATTGCACAGCTCAACGCACTTGGAGGAGAACACTAACCATCAATACTGTTATACCAGGCCCACTCAATGAGAGGCCAATTATGCTCTCTTGGACTCCCAGTCACAGATGGCTGTGGCATCACCAGGGAACAAACGCACAATCTCCTGTTGATAGGGCTTATGCTTAGATAGCTGCGCCAATCCAGAGCCCTTAACCTGCCTAGATTTGTTCAGCATCCACTTGGCAGCATTTTCCACTGAAAACTCAACAATGAGAATTAATTTTTTTAATTAATTAAAAAAATGCTCAATTTCTCACTAGGTTTAATGGGAATTTGGCCAGTGTAACTTACATATTAGTTTATAGGAGTGACCAAATGACTTGTGGTAGTCACTGAATACAAGTGATAATATACAAAAGGGAATAATAAATCTACCTTAATCCAAAAACAATTATGGGCCTGCTTTCTCTGAACAGCTAAAACGCAAAAAATAAGCACAAAATCTACAGATTTACTGTAAATGAACACAAATCTCTCATCTCACAGCCACTCTCTACATTCTACATAATATAAAAGCAGACATCTAGTATGTATAATAGCCCCCTCACCCCTTTATTACATCTGCTTTCCTGAAACACGCCCCAAAAAAGGCAGAGAAAACACATGCTTAAATTGTGCAGCTAGGAAAGGGGGGAAGAATAGAGACACTTTGCCAAGCTGTCAGTAGCGAGGGGTGAATTGAAAGCAGTGGTGACGGCGGAGTGGGACTGAGCCGGGCCTTCGCTAGCTGCTTAATTGGCGATGGAGCGACGGTGGGCTCTTTGGCAGGGGGGCTTCTCCAAGCTACCTCAGCTCTCTCTCTCTCTCTCTCTCTCTCTCTCTGAGAGCTAGCAAGTGTCCGCCGCGAAAGCGAGGGGCCGCACCATTTCACACAGCAGCACCTTTTGGACTTCATTAAAAACTTGGCCCGCCGTCCCCCCCCAGGCGGCTGCTGCATGGGGCCCTCCAGCTTTGGCCGTTCTGCAGTACACAAGGTGCAAATATTTTTACTTAAAACAAGCAGGAGGCACAGCAGAGAAAGTACATGGGATAGGAAAGAATTGAACAGCGGTGGGAGGGGGGAACATGACATGAGAGTAAACTCAATTCTGTCTCTGACACCATCTCTACCACCCACCCCCTCACCCCCACCAACTGGTTAAATCCCATGCTAGGCTGTTGCAGCATTGCTGTAGATGTAGCTGAGGGAACACAACTAGCACAGGCATTGTTTTGACAGCTCTCATGGCGGTAAATGCCAGGATGTCTCCGCTCAGGCTCGTTGTGTGCTGCGCTGCTGCTGGAACTGAAGGATCCTATTATGCTGTGTACTGGGCCTTTTACCTCCTTTTTTCCATTTTTCCCCCACTCCTCCTCATTCTGCCTGCACTTCAAGTATAGCTCCCATTTTTGTAGATAATGTCACTCATTAGGGTGATTATAGCTACTGGCATGGAATTCGCTGGTGAGAACTCTGGCGAAATAAAGTCGGAGGACCAGAGGGGTGGCTGCTCGGAGCCTTCAATCGCAAACTCATTACACAGCGTCTATGGATGGTGTTTGGAACTGGTGTCAGCGAAATGACACAATAATCTTTTAAAGGCTGAGAAAAAGGAAAAGGAAAAGAAACAGTGGCTGGTAGCCAGGGGCGCTGAGAACAAGTCCAAAGGGGGTGAAAAGGGTACGATCTCCCGCGGTCCGAAGGAAGCGCAGGGCCACATTCCAGTGGAAATGTCTAAATGTCTGAAGGGAAAAAAACCCAGTTTTTCTAGCTTCCTATCAGCCTATAACATTTCTGGACCGAATTTGCTTTAGCTTCCGCAACCACACTCTAATTTGAGCGAGACGGATTTCTTTCAAAGTCAGTGACTCACCTACAAACTTCAGTTTGGAGGATATAAAAAGCTATAAGGAGCGCATGTGGTAATAGCACAAAGTATTATTTCCATATTGCATTGTCCCCAAAATAATGAATTGCTCAAGGGCATAGAAACAATGGAGGCTAGACAATAGCAATACCTTACATGTTCCAACAGGAGGGAGATGGAGGAACTGAGCTGAAAAAGGAGGACCGCAGTGTTAAAAATATGATCAACCTGGACAGGTTCCTCCTACAGGCTTGTTATAATGGCACGGTAGCTTAATTAAAAAGAATACGTAGCTTTGGGGCAATGACACTTTTTCTCGGAGGGAATATCATTTCTGCGGAATCCATCGCCCGCTAGAGTGACCTCACTCCGGATATCAATTAAAATCTTGTCAGGACACGCAAAGATGTGTTATGCAAATGTGGTGTGAAAGAAAAAAAAAAGATCAATAACAACAGCAGGAAAAGCAATCACCAGCTTCGTCTGCGATAACTGGCCACTCCGTTAAAAATGATCATAGCAAAAAGCAAGCCACTGTCAGTTTTCATGCTTTCCTTGGGAAATAAAAGGCACACTAGTATTGCAAAGACAAAACAGCACAGCTATTTAGAGCTTTTTCTCCTTCGCTGCACTTCTTTATTTGCTCGTACTTACACGCTTCTTGCCGTTGGGTTGGGGGAGAAAGCGGTAATGCATTTGCATCATGCTTACTCTTTGCCAGTTGTCCTAGCTCGTGAGTCTACTATCTCATGATTGGAGAAGAGGGTATTAATGTATTTGCATCAAATTTGTTATTCGTCAGGGTTTTTTTTTTCGCTTACAGAAAAGCGAGTATAAACGCGAGGCCGCAGTAGAAGCCACTGCTGGAGCCTGCCGGCATTAATACCCCCATTCATCCTGGACCCACTCTGAGCCAAGAAGCAGCATTAGGCCTGGGGCCCTGTGGCCTGCGCTTGGACCGGCCTGGCTGGCATGTGTGCTCGCGATAGAGCGAGAGAAAGAGAGCGTCATTTCTCCTCCACTGATTCAGCCCCATTCTGGACAGAGCGGAAAAGTTCTTTATTTTAATTAGCCAGACAAGTGTGCTATGGACACCTGCCACCTCGCAGGCGCTCTCTTTTAACTCTGCTGTGGCAAGATGCAGCTTTTTATACACTGACCAGTTAACTCTTTACTGGTACTGGCCGATACATTGTTTAAACTGGTTTTACTGACTTAGTTTGAGCAGTGTTGGTAGATAACAAAAAACGTAACATGTTCGCTGGGTGATTTGGTCTGTTTTGAAATAAAATATAAAAAAAGGGGTAGACAAAGTACAATAATTCTGTACCCGAGTAAAAGTAGATGTACTAATGGTAAAATACATCTTGAGTAAGAATTCTGTGTGTATTTCTACTTGAGTAAAAGTACAACAGTACAAAAGTACTTACATTTGATTGTTCTTAAGTATGAAAAGCATTTTGAGTTATTACTTATGTTGTATGATATTATTATGATGAACAAGTTCTAGTAAGGAGACTTGTTCATATCTGGAGCCACACAGTTCTCCTTAACAAAACTTGCTCATCAGAATAATATTATAGCTGAAGATACTTTTCCTTTTGATACGCAAGTACATTCACAAGCAATATTTTCTCATTTTTTTCTAAAAATGTGGTTTCTGAGTGGTTAACATTAACAACACTGTTGAATACAATGTTCTAATTGGTGTAATTTGAAAAGAATAAATCAGAACAAGACAAGATTTAAGATTTTCATACAGGTTCATTATAGGGCTATACTGGAGGGAAAAGAAAAGAATGAATCTGATACAATCTTGGAAAAAACCCAGCCTGAAATCCTGCACAATATCACACTGTATGATGTCATGTTGTCATTTATGTAGAGTAGTAGAGTGCTTGAGTAGTTTGAGCATGATAGCTTACTTTTAGCCCCTCGTCTTAAGTGCAGTGCTTCAATTAAAAATGGCTGAAGTTTTAAAAAAATTCCGAAAATTTTGGAACGTGTCAACATCGGTACTGGAAAGAAAAAGAGGCATGGGCCGTTACCTTCAATAATGCTACCTTACATATCTGATACTGTGAAATGCTTGTAAAATTTAGCAATAGTAAATTTTATCAATATCATCAAAACACAACTCTTCAATGTAACTTTTTCAAGACTGCTGTAACAGAAAACACAGAACTGATTTAGGTCACGGGAACCGCTCGCAAAAGTGGGTAACAGTGCCGGCGGCTCAAAGCACAGCCAAGGAAGAATCCAAGCTCCAGCTTATAAAGGCCAAGACACAAGTGCTCAGCAGCAGACGCTAAAAATGGGGCACGGACCACCTGGCTGACGCTGCAGTCTGCACTGTAGAGCCTCCACAGGACGTTCTCTGCCAACATGGACAGCACAGGCAGGACAAGAAACACTAATGGCTGAATAATACATTTTTTTCAGCGCCGAGGGCAACGCTCACCTATCTGGGTCGGAGAAATGATGAAGAAAACTGTACGAGCCATTCCTCTGCTAATGATCTTCTGTTTAAGCAAGGACTACAGCATTTCCGAGGTTTGTGTAACCTTTAGATTCATGTAGTGGGAGATGATTACTCCCCTTAGTACCCTCAAGATAATCTTTACTGTATCTTCACAGTTTATTGCATGTATATTGCATGAATTTAATAGGCAATCGGCTCTCATATCAGCCTCATCTGAATCTATGGCAAAGTCTAATTGTGCTACTGCCCAGAAGAGACATATATTAAATAAATTAATTAATAATAAGGAAAATTAAGCCTATGCTGAAGCCATTAGACTACTGAGCAGATTCAAATGCCACCGAACACTTAGACTTTCACCATCTTATGCAAATCAACAGAGATCCCTTATTCACTAAAATAGCATGTTGAATTTTCAGTTAAAGCAAAAGAAATGCTGTCTTACCTTGGGTTGAGCACGTCTGGGGAAGGCAACTTTAGGGTCAATCTGAGCAGAAGAAGGAAAGAAAGAGATGATATTCAGTGGAAAATTACAAAATAATTCAGTGACAATATTTCTAGCAGTTTCTGACTGCCAATTGTAAACTACACTGCATAAATGCAAAATGATGTAATGTACTATGTCATGTCATATGTGTTACAGAACCGTAACTGTTGTTTTCTGGTTGTAGCAGGCCTATGTACATTTTAACAAAAGGTAAGATAATTATATGTGAAATGTAAATGTACAGGTCAAGTATTCGAAAAACACATCAGTTCTCATTTGACAGCTTCATGGACACGGCTCTCCGGTCCCTGAGGAATAGAGGCTGACATGACGGAGTTCATATTGGTGAGTGCTGTAGATTTGTGAAGAATCAGGAGAGGGCATTAGATCAATACTCGCACAACCTCTTTCCCTCCAGGGGGATTATCATCATTACTGGTGACTCCTTCCTGCAGTTACTGTCTGAATAAAGGCCTACAGAACCATCTGCTTGCGACATTCCTCATCTTAAGGATCAGCAGTGGAAGCTTATAAACACGTCACACCATGTATCACTCGCTACATACAACGTTACAGCACAAAGGTTATGAGTTCACAACTACAAATCCGCACGTACGAGAACACAGCGCACTACAACCAGTTATTTTTCCATCAACGTCAGCGACTAAATGAGTCCCCTTAATAATTCAGATGAAGAAAATCAAACGTTCTCGAGTCGAACGTCTTTCATCTTCGTAGCTCAAATGATCACATCACATAAGCTGAACATGACAGTAAACGAAAAAGAAAGGTGTTATAATAAGCAGCGTTTCCTTTCTCTGTGGGGAAAAACAGAATTAATTGCAGAAAAGAGCATCCTTTCATCCATGATAAATAGACATTGCTGATTTCAGTCAGGTGGCTCGTCAGGTAAAGGTTTACGACATGCTCAGAGAACTGCAAATATTTTTAATACGTCTATGGGGTTTAAGGCGAGGCAAAATTAAAGTAAGCTCACCTGATATTGAATTGAACAGAAACGAGAGGGTAAAAATCAAAGGAGCAAAAATCGCTTTTTCGCTGGACAGCGAGTGCACTAAAATGCCCCGTTGACTAAAAGGATGCCGAATGATCATGCATGCGAGGATGGGCACGGTGCAAAGACCTCTCCAGCGTTCGCATCAAATGGAAAAATAACTCAAGGGAAAAAAATCCATTAGTGGAATATTGCACTTGAATATACAGTGTGTCTTAGTGCTTTGTCACTTCATACAAAAAAAGTGAAAAACGGAAGAAAAAGACATTACAGTGTGCAAAGGGAAAAGCTGAAAGTAAAAAAATAAACATTTTTTTTTCCTTCAGCAGGAGAATGTCCTTTCGAAAATTAATTTTGTGTGAATAGAATTGTAATATGTACTGCCTTTTAAAGACTCTTTCTGGGGGAAAAAAGCTATGCTGTTTTTATTATACTTTAATTCATCCAGAAAAGTGTTTAATCTAAAACAGATTGCTTTTAGAGAGGACTGCAGCAGGCAACCAATTGTCAACACACAATGCAATTTTCACTCCAGGTTCTTACATCTGCAGCTTACGTAACAGTTTTTAATCAAATGTGAAATATTAAAGTGTGTCAAGAAATTCGCCGTACTGCTCGGCTCACATCCATTCTCATACATTCAATAGCTCCGAAACTGCCAAGCGCTGGCAATGCAGGTGTTGAAAAAAATACAATACAAACGCCAACCCGAAACAAAATATAACAGTAAGTGTAATCACAAGCTCGAACAGACTATGCATTCAAATTAGACTAATTACACTGAACATGAATGGAATTAAACAGAAGCGGAAGACATGCAGTGGAAAATAAAGCAACAAACAGAAACAAATCAGTTTCAGTACATATGAGCTAAGAGCTGTGGAGTTGGAGGAACAGAATGAAAAAAGGGCGAAAAAAAAGATCTTGCTTTAAAAACTGCCTACTATAATAAACAGGAGATGTGGGTAAAGTAGCATGAATCTATCCTCAAGCACAAGTACTGTTACTTTTACAGTACTGAAATAATGACTCAAGTAGAAGTGGGCGATGTGGCAAAAATATCACCATACTTTTAAGCAATTTTCACGATAAACAATAAGCTTCAGAATATTTGGTAGATAGTTATTTAAAGTACTGAAAATGTCCACAATATGCTCAAATATGCCCAAAAAATAACTTGAGTAGTCCTACAAAATAAAAACTCATAATAATTTCTAAAAAAATCAAAAAGCTATTTAAACTACTTATAGAACTGAAACTTCTGACAACATCCAGCATCTATCAACACAGGAACTGAAGTTTGTTAGGAGTTATTCTTCTCTTTCTGGGCTACTTTAGGACTAAAATAAATGACGAACCTCTAAAGTCAGAGTTCAGATAAACACAAAACAGTGATTATTAAAGGACCCAGGTTTTTCTTGTATTTTATTTTTCCCTTGAGCCCCACTTATAATGGTTGTGTGGTTTTCTGTACCAAAGCAGTCACAGTTCATTTTTACATGACAAGTGTCCAACCTCACTTTATCCCTTATAATTAAACTGTTTTTGTTACTGTGCCTTTAAGACTGATGAACACAAATGGCATCTATTCTGATTGGCTGCTCTGTATTGTGCCTTATTTAAAAAGCACAGAACAACAGCATGAATGGGCAGAGCCTGTAGGCTGAACAGGTGGATATATGTAAATGAGTTAGTTCTCATGACATCACAATGAATGCAAAACGGACTGTTTTTGCAGCATAGTTTCCATATGTGGACATTTTAGACTGGGCAGTGAATGCAATGTTTTGAACTAACAATGTTTATACATTACTTAAAAATTTCAAAACAGTGAAAGAAGCCTGGTTTTGATGATCTGGGCCCTCTGAGTACATTTTGATGGCTAAAATGTTCCTGAGAAAAAAGTATGTAATGTATGTAAAAATGTAACTGGGTAAATGTAACTAGATGCACCCCACCTCTGGTAAACAGTAGGATTGGATAACAGAGGTTAGTTTGGGTTCATCCCTGTACTACCACTGCTACTTTTGTGCCAAGCTCTTTGTCACAAATGTTGAGCCAGTGGCCTTAAGCAGGAGCAGCAGGGTTCACCTTTATCAACGAGGTCACGCCTCAGCGCAGAACCATTCAGCCGTCCCTCCGGCCGCGTGGGTGACATCACAATCCACAACCTGCTAATCCCCGCTTTAGCCCCGTCACTGCTGTCCGCGTGATCCCAATCTCTACCAATCCTGGACACAACGCTGCTAATGCTAACACTCGCTCTTTCTTCTCTTTTTTCCCCCTCCTCTTCCTTCCCTACCATTCAGAAACATTTGAAATGTCAAACCTTGACCTACTTTTTACCCAGAATACTAGAGTTACACATGTATGGAGCGATTATGTAATGTAACCCAGTTTTAACTCGTCCGAGATAGTATACTGGCACAAGACTCAAAGATATAACGGCTCATTTTCTAAATTAGCTTCAAACGTTTCTCCAAGAGGCATGCTGGCAGAGGTGGCTAATGACAGCCAAGTTAGCGCTTACACAACTTCAGTCATTGCCACCACCGTGAACTTCTCACCTTTAACCTACATAAATCTAATGTGTGGCTTTTTACCCATTTATCCCCGTAGATCACTGCTGATCGCGAAGTCACATGATTTACACATGAAAAAGATGCAATCCATCTTTTCTCATTTGAGATTAGTGCTTGTTATACACGATCCCTGACAAAATAAACATAATAAAACGGGTATTAGCTTTTTTCTAGCTCATGAACATTTTAACAGAAACTTCTACGCATTATTCCTTTCAATTAAGATTTAACTAACTGTGCCGACTAACTGGATTTAAATAAATTATCCACAGTAATCTACCTTCATCAATGTGTGGGTAAGAGAGTTTAACAGGTTAATCTGCAGTTGACCAAATTAGCTCTCCAATCTCATATGAGCACAGTGAACCACAAAACCTCATCTCGGTCACAGCTAAGCAAAATGTAGACAGAAATAAAATACATTAGGAACAATAACAATAGGTTGGAGTCCTTCAACAAATATAAAACAAAACAAACAGGTTAAATTATGTTTCTGCACAGTGAGGATATGATTTTGTTAACAGCTTTCCAGACCAAGAGAGCAGACTATAAAGAATTTTCACTGGAGAATCCTCATTACAATTTCATTAGACAGAGACTATGTGTGAAATAGGTCCAAGTTGTTAAATATTTACTTTACATTATTTTCTCCTATCTGGCTGTTCTAAATCGGTCCAATCAGGAGCCTTTATTTAAATTGTAGCTCATCTCCAGACTGATAAACTGTTAAATCATAAAAAGAAATGTGAAACGCATGGAGAGTTTTCAATAACGCCATGTTTCAGAGAAAAAACAGCAGTAAAAGAAGCCTTCACTGATTTCTTCATTAGTCCTGCTGCTCTTTGAGTTTCCTTTAACACTGTGATATACAGGTTGTCTTTTTTATATTGGCTTCCAGCAGTATTGCCTCCATTAAAATGACACAGAGAAAGCAACGCTGGGCTGTTCGTCCAAGCCCAGCCACCCCAAATAAAAGCTCTTCCTCTCTGTACCCCCACTGACCTTCAATGAGAAACATCCAAATAACACATCTGCACAAATCTTATTGATACATGGCACACGGTCTGCTGCCCCACAGATATGTCAACAGCAAAATATCAGAGCATATCTGTTGCACAAAAAAATGGAGCCATCTAATAATCCTAAGAAATTCACTTTCCTGCAGATCTGCCTTTGACAGTGTTACTAACAAAAATCTGGAGCAGGTTTCAAAGGACAAGCCACTCGTCACTACACAGCATCCTGAGAAACTTGCCTGTCACACTTGTTGATATTTGTGTTTACTTGAAGTCAACATCTGAGGAAGCATAAAATGCACAACCTTAATTTTCACACATTTAAAAGCATTATCTGCAGATGATACTAGATTTGAAATCAGACAGATATGGCTACATTTAATGAAAATGTTCAGTTAGACATCACAAAACAAACAACTATCATTATGCATAAAAACACAAATGCTTTTTGAAAAATATCACTGTTTATTTTTAAAGTGTGCAAAAATAATCAACTGATGTATTTTGGGCAACTGCAACCGAACCACAGCAAATAATGAATAAAAACCAAAAATAAATAAGATACATAAAAATAATCAACATCAACAAAAAATAATGGGCATGAATTCATATCAACAAGAAAACAACAATTCATAAGAAGACACAGTTCCATCCTGATAACACCAACAGAAATTAACAGGACGCTCTCTGAACCACACAGACAAACTCCATCCAGAAACCAGAGCCAGAGAAGCTATAAATCCATCTTTACGATTCAGTTGCTCTCATAAAAACAATAATAATGAGGAAAACAAAGTCAGGGATGTGCAACCAATCTCAGTATAATGCAGGCAATGAAGTAATGCATCACTGTCTCTTTGCACATTAGTTTAGCTTGGCACCGGTTCAATGCAGCAATAATGATTTAAATACACTAACGTCAAAAGCAAACCTTCCCACTGACATGAACTGCATTCAGTACAAAAGCAGAGCGCAGCAGGTGTTCCCTTTGAACTAATCCAGACTGGAGCAAAACACGCCGGCAAAGTCAGGGTTAAACCCCGCCAAGGCACCGGGCTAAGACTGAGATAACTACCCCGACCACTTATTTGCGTCTGTGCCTGCTGCTGTGCGAGTGGTACGATGAGAAATGTCATGGAGCGTCATCAGACGTGAACGGGTTTGATAGGAGCGTACGTGTGGCGTGCACTATAGATGTCGGGACATTGAAAAAAAAATTAAACAGCACTGCGAAAGAAGATGCCAGCAAAATGTAAACATACCGTCTTTGAGTCTAATTCGTGGTGAGGTTGACCTAAGACTTTATCTACACTGGCCGCATCCGCAAACGTAACGAACCCAAATCCCCTGGAAAAAAACACACACAGAGACAGAGAATGGCATTTACATCAGAGAGAGAGCACAGACACTGAGTTCCACAGTACACCTCAATAACTTTTGTTTCAGCTGAGCCTCTGCTGTTTACAACCACACATATTTGAATCATTTTAACCCATTCATGTCCAGCATATGCCACAGGACTTGTTCTAATTGGTTGAAAGTAATCAGCTGTTATATTTGGTGAAAATCTAATTACACTACACATAATTTTCAAATTTTTATTTACAATAAAATTCAGATTTTCTATTGTATTGGTAAAAATTAGTAGTCACGTGACCAATAATGTGCTAAAAATTCATATGGCTTAAACAATTTGAAAACTTCCTTTATGATCAAGCTCAGGAAAAATAACACTAATTAAAAAATGGACCAAAATAAGGAAAAGTAATATTTCATGTAAGGACATTAATGGGTTAATCTCGTGCACATTCAGCTAACTTTTCCCCCCATATGTCATCATGCAGACTGGCTGCTTTTACGTCCTAACAGCATAAAACAGGAGTGCTTAGAGAAAAACAGTGAGCTAAATCAGAGCAAGCAAGCAGCATGTTATTGGGACCCAATGTCACCCTGCATTCTGCCACTGGCTGCTCCAACGGCTTGCAAAAGCGGATCGCTGCATGGCACTAAAGCTCAGCGCTAAACATCAGCGAGAGCAACACTGCAAGCACACAGCAGCGATTAGTACTGTTTGTTTATTGTTTTATTTTTTTACCTGGAGCGTTTGGTCGTGGGATCCCTCATCACCATACATTCTCTGATTTCTCCGAATTTACTAAAATAGTCTCTAAGGCTGTCTGGAAGCAGAAGAGAGACAGAGAGAGAGAGAAGGCGGATTAGATTAGGCGACCGTCCGTGGGTCAGGCAGGCAAGTGCTATTTATGTGTATGTGTTTTGAAAACGCCCCCTTCAACGCATGTAGGGGTCGAATAGAGGACTTTCAAACGAAACGAAAAGAAGCTTTCGCGCACAAACACACATTTCCACACACGCACTCGCGCACACAGCCCAGCAGCGGCACACCGGAGCCGTTTGAGTCCGGCTCGGAGAGCCCCGCTATCGGCCAGCCTGGCCGGCCCAGCCCCGCCGAGAGCGGCTCGCTTACCTGGTGAAGTTTGCCAGCTGAGGCCACCGATGAACATTTTACTGCAAGAGGGAAACACAGCAGAAGTGAGTCCAGATGTCAGATCGGCCATTTTGACGTGGAGCTAACTACTTAGCTAGCCACACACACACAAACAGAGAGAGAGAGGGAGAGAGAGAGAGAGGGAGGGAAAAAGCGGGCGAGAACGAAGGCACACAGCACAGACACAGACGCGGATCAGAGCTGAGGCTTTAGCCCGCCGAAGCTGTCTCTCCTAAAGGGGGCAGGCCAGCTCCAGCACACGGTGAACAAAAGGAGGCAGAAACAGAGCGGGATCTTTTAATTAATGAACATTTACAAAAAAAGGGAAAAAAGCACATTTGTCCTTCAGGCTGCTCGAAGAAAAAACATGACAGAAGTCAGAGTGTTTATGTGAGACAGAGAGAGAGAAAAAAAAGAAGGAGGAGAAATATTCGCTGCCTGCCTTACCCTGGGTCGTGTTGTGAATCGTTAGGACTCCCAGATGTGGCTTGGCTCCCGTCCGCCTCCATAGCTGAAGCCGACCGACCGCAGGCAGTGAGTGGAGCGCTGGCTGGCTGGCTGGCTGGCTGGCTGGCAGGCAGAGCGAACCGCTGTAGCCGAAGCCCCCGCTAAGAGAACAGTGGCGAGCCGGGGAAAGCAGCGTCACACGTGGGATCAGCTCAGCTCTGGCTCCCTCCTCCCCCTCCCTGGACCCACACGGGGGGCGGAGAAGGGGCTCGTCACCTAGCCCCGCCCATTGACGTCAGCATAATCGCTCCGCCCATTCTGGACTCGAGTCCACGGCACTAGTGTTTTGTGCGTGTGTTTGTGTGTGTGTGTGTGTGTATATGTGCCTTTGGGGAGCGCTGGCCAAACAACCATGACGTCACCAATAAAGGCAACACAGCGATCTATCTTGATTAATATCAGCTCGCCCCTCAGGGGGGATCCAGCACGCATCGTGTAACCTACTAGTCCAACATGGCACTATTATATAAAAGAAGCGCACTTCATGCATTTTTCATGAGCTCGTTTCAAACATTAGCCCAGTTCTTTTGTTTTTCTAAGTTGAGAAATCTTTCTCTAGTGTAATTTTCAACAACACCAGAGGGGAAGGTGGAAGGTATTTGATGGTTAATCCATTAAAGTCTACATAAATCTCCGAGCTCACCTGAGCACAAATCGATCAAGCTGTATGGCTAAAAAGTTTTTATTAGGCATGCACCGATGTGGAAATTGTGGGCAGATGCCGATATCCGATATTTTCCTGCGTATGTATCTGCCGAAGCCGATACATAAACATTTATAAAAAGTAGAAACTGGGACCACATTGCAGCATTACACAGAAATTTAACACTTATTTCTATGTCATAACAAATGCAATAAAATAAATAAAATAAAGTTATTTTAGCAAAATAGCCCAGCGTCACCAAAACATTGTGCTCTTCCAGAGAACAATAAATATGTTATCAAATACCGATTTAAAACATCTGCCTGATGCTGATCATTTCTTTGAAGTCATTTTCAGTGTGCTTCTCTAGTTTTTATACCTTAATAGAACATACCAAATCTAATTGTGAACAATAGTATGAAAATGACGTGTAATCAAACAACCAATTAGATGTTGATCCAGTGTACAACCACAGAACATGTTATCACTTTAGACCCGTCAGAACAAGTTCTGTGGCATTTTTCTTTATCATACTAAATGTAGCTGTTGGGTATGAATCTATATATAATTTCTATAATAGAGAGTCAATCTATTGTATGTCCAGTCCTCACAAGGAGAATGTATATTAAGAGCAAGAATAGCTCAGTACAGGGGTACAATATGTTTAGTGAGGTGAGCTATGCATAGATATGAGATACACTGGACTGAATACAGCATCAAAGCTACTCCCTATTATTCAAAGAAAATATGGGAAAGTAAACTCCTGACAGAGAAATATTGCCAAAAGAACAGCTGTGAAAATAATTCCTTCAGTCTGGAAGACCAGCCTTAATTACTTTTGTGGTCAGTTACTGCATTTATGATGTCTGATGCAGTGGGCATTCATCTAACATCTCCCACAGACCTGAGCACAATTAAAAACCAAACACAATTTTGACTTTTAGTGAAAGTGTCCTGAGTCTGTCATGAAAAAATGCATTCATTTATACTGACATCCTATGAAAGTGTCTGCATTCTCCCTTACACACTACAATTTGTCTATGATCAGTCCTATATGAAGGAAAAACATGTACATTTATCCTCATATGCAAAGTATATGTGCAATATATGTCAACAAATGTGACGCCAAGCTACAGCAGTGCAGGCATACAGCTCAGAAATGAAGCCGTGTCCTTTCACAGTGCTTGGGGTCTGAAGCTTTAACAACTCTGAGAAATCACAAGTTATTACTCATTTAATAACAGTTTAAAAATATAAAAAATAATTTTGAAAAGGTTAAAGGATCTTCCACTGGAGGCTATGGAAGTGCATGCTTATTACCCAGCGAGAGGCGGAGGAAGGGCTCTCTGCATTAAAGCGGGAGAGAGAGAGAGAGAGACAGAGAAAAACAGGGAGAAAGAGAGAGAGAGAGGCCTCAATTAAGGGCCTTGCTCAGCGGAGGCTCAGTTATGCTACAGTGATTGCTGTTTTTTCCTGCAGCTCGGTTTAAAGCGAGGCTCCATGGCCTGGAGACAGCTCGTCTTTGTCTTCTCCCCCACCCTGAGACAGATTCTGAACGACAGTTTCGCTGCTAGAAAGTGCAGAGAGCCTGCATCAGGCTAGCTAGCGTCCAGAGGAGGGCGGCTATAGCGCTGCTGATTGGCAGGTGAACCCCGCGGTCTCACCTCGCTGCCTAGCAGGCTGCTTGTTGGTAAACTGACACGCAGGCACCTATGGGGCACAGGCCCGAAGCAAAACATCTCTCTCCCTTTCCCAGTCTGTTTTTTTCCCCTCACTTCCACTGACTTAAAACAGCAAAATGCCTCAGAGACTGCACACACTGCAGATTAACTCATTGCAGGCTTTCGGATCATATTAGCTGGTGACTAAAATAACTAGGCAACATTGTTTGCTTTATCTAATGTTACTTATACACAGGTTGCATTTTTTAGCATAGGAAGAAAGGCATTTTTAGGTATCTCTAATACTGTGATTAAACTGCCTATACAGTGAGCCTTTGTTAAATACCATGGTATTGGAGCCCATCTGCAGGGAACTGTGAATATAATCAGCTTGTAATGTCACAGTGTATCTCAATCATAGATGGAGTTAAAATAGTATTGAAATCTTAAATGATCCCGTATCGTAGAAAGGCCCTTCCCATTGTTTATAAATTAATTCAATGTTGTATGTAATTGTACCATTTCCCCCCTTTCTATACAGTGCATATTTATAAACTAAGCTGCAAAAACAGCCTGTTTTGAATCCTTTGTTTTTGTCATGTCACCAAAACAATTACACGTATTTGAATATTCAGCTTTTAGCAGTTTAGCTATAAAGTTATAAGGGGTGTTGCAGCCCAGACTGCTTACTGAATGAGGCACAACACAGGGTAGCCAATCAAAACAGAGTTCATTTACATATATCAGTCTTCAACTCACAGTAACAACAACACTGCTTAATTCCTAGGGGTAAGGAGCTGGAAAACAGTAATAAAAACATGAATTATGATTGTTTTGGTACATAAACCAACACATCTACTCAGAACTGCAGTCTTTGACCAATTTACATTCTTAACACAAGTTGGTATCTGTCTTAAACTGTCTTGTTCTATGTGTTTTTTGTATTGTTGGGCTTTAAGCCAACTTGTGTACTGTTGAGCAGGATTGTATTGTAGTTGGTATTGTACAATACTGTCTTGTATAAGTAGTCTGTGTCTTTCTGACATTGTATTGTTTGGACCTGTAAAAAGACAAACTTGGCCATTGATTCAGAGGAGATGGAGAGTGGGGTGGTAGTTTTACCAATGGGACCATTTCTGTCATTTTTTTCACGAGGCCGATAGCATCCCCTTTCATTCCCTCTCAAACTGAGCCCTGCTTATAAATATGTTGCAGATGTTGTAATAATGACCATTCATAATTATTATCTGTTTATTACAGTTCTATGTTTCGGCACAAGGCGTGTTACAAACTGAGAACTGTGACACTAAAATGGAATCGACTTTCATGCTGAAACATGGCTCACTTTGTTTCCCATTGAAATTTTATTCAGATTTTAATACAAATAAGCAGCACCACCGCTGCTCCATTTCACTGTAATGTAATACATAATTGCGTTTCAGATTAGGCCTGGCAGAGTGGTTTACAGGCTATTTACAGTAATCTAAATTACATAATTTCATAATAAGATTTGATAAGCCTAATGGTCAGCAGCGTACTTTGTTTAGAATGGTCGCCTTTCATTGAGCATTAACCTGAAAATAACATCTAATTCGAGTGCACAAACACGGAATGGAAGGGTTTAATGTCTCCTCGAATAGTACATACACTCTTAGCCGGTATGAAACATACGCTTGATTGCCTTTAGAGCATTAAGTTTGATCATTTGGATGTTAGGAAGCATTGTGTGATGATCTCACCTAATAGTGGAGAATCATTTCACTTACAAAACAGCTCATTTTCTCTCCAAACGTCTGCTGCCGTAGAGCAAAGCTTCAAAGAGAAACGTAAGGCAAAGGCTGCATGTCTTTCATGTACAGTGTATTAGTGTAATTGTACATGGCATGCATATTCACGTTATGTGTGACATACGCTGAGCAATGACTGGCTTGATGAATCTAAATGAACCACGAATCAAGAGATTATTTAAATGCATACATTTGCATGGGCTGCTTATAAAGTAAGTGCTAATTTATGCTACAACCCCACCATTATCTATTTAAATTTAATGTTTCAGAAAGTCCATTAAGTCTTCAGAAACGGCGCAGAAAGACGACGGAAGCAGGGTTCCTGATTAAAGCGAAGACTAAGTGCACATCGGAGCTCTGCCCAATTAGAGGCTGTGCATTTCGCAATTAGAAGTAAATTCAGTGTGCCTAGCATCTCTGAAATCGGACGGGCAATTTGACAATAAAAGTCGGGCGGGAGGGGGGCTTTAACTTGTAAAAAAATGACGTTACAAACAGTACGCCTTCATGTTCGTCGTGCTGAACTGGTGTGGAAAGAGTTTCGCATTTAACCTCTTCTCCTCTGCCCTCTGACACGCATGAGATTTAATCACAAATTTCCAAGTGGAAAATAAAGAGGATTCCAAGCCATGTCAAGCGTGAAAGACAAAGAGATAGAAAATGACAAATGAATCTGGTGGGTTGGTTGGTGATGGTGTGGGGGGTCTTAATATCATCTCAAGATAATGAGTTTCTCTATACTTCAAATCCACTCTTGTTTAAGTTACACAAAGCAGGCTACACAGAATATGGCTCCTCTAATTAGACATAAGACTCTGTGTACACACACCATCTGAAATCAAACTTAGCAATTAACATTAGCAGCTACTCTGAAGCAATAATCCCTTGTGTTCCTAGTATAAAAGTGAGTA